ATGCAAAGGAATTCCGCGTACAGAACAGCGCCAAGTTTGAAGATTATGCTTATGAGGACTGATGACCTTCAGTTTATTTAGCATGGAGGTCATTTCTTACTCCGTGTGTGTGTGTGAGAGAGAGAGAGAGAGAGAGAGAGAGAGAAAGAGAGAGAGAGAGGAAGAGAAAGAAAGGAAGAGAGAGAGAGGGGAGGAAGAGAGAGAGAGAGAGAGAGAGAGAGAGAGAGAGAGAGAGAGAGAGAGAGAGAGAGAGAGAGAGAGAGAGAAAGAGAGAGAGAGAGGAAGAGAAAGAAAGGAAGAGAGAGAGAGGGGAGGAAGAGAGAGAGAGAGAGAGAGAGAGAGAGAGAGAGAGAGAGAGAGAGAGAGAGAGAGAGAGAGAGAGAGAGGGGGGGGGAGGAAGAGAGAGAAAGAGAGAGAGAGGGGAGGAAGAGAGAGAGAGAGAAAGAGAGAGAGACAGAGACAGACAGACACACACAGAGGAGGTGGGGTCGGAACAAAGGGAGAGAGAGAGAGAGCAAGAGAGAAAAAAAAGAAAGAGATACAGAGAGAGAGAGAGAGATTATGATAACCAGTTTCCGGTAACGCATACTTATCATATATGCAACAAACATTTCCACTGCACCTTTAAACTTTTACTAAACCTTTCAGGAATATATATCTGGATAAAACAAGTATGCAGAGACACTTTTTTTATTTAGTCTATATTTCATAGGCCTAAGTTTCCCACCAGTAAGCATCCCAGTGTTCTTAACCGCAAGATAAATATCCAAGAAAAACATCTTGACGGTTTATCCCAAAGAAGTTCAGATTTCTTCGTAGAAAAGGGTTGGAGAGGATGCGACGGAGAGCTTTCTGGAGTTAAACCAATAGTCGAGGTGGTGTGGGAAAGTTTAGAGCTTTGGGAGGTTTATGGACGTAAACCTTTCTGGAGTTCAACCAAGAGTCATAAGAGTTTTTTTTAGGGAGCTTTCTGGAGTTCAACTAAGAGTCATAGGAACATTTTTTTGGGAGCTTTCTGGAGTTAAACCAAGAGTTATTGGAGTTTTTTTTAGGGAGTTTTCTGAATTTAAACCAATAGCCCAGGGGTTGTGAGACATTTTTGAGCTTTGGGAGCTTCCTGTAGTTAAATTAAAAGTCATAGAAACATTTTTTGGCAGAGCTTTTAAAAATTAAACCAATAGTCGCGTTTCATAAGGAGAAATAGAGCTTTAGGGAGTTAAACCAATAATTATGGTCTTATGAGAAAAAATAGAGAGCTTTAGGGAACTTTCTGGAGTTAAACCAATAGTCGGGGTGTTGTGGGAAAAGAAATTTAGCAATATTTTGAAGATTGGGAACTATGAGAGTTTGGAGTGTAGGAGGTAAAGGGGGGGGGGGTGAATGGGGGGGTGAGTTGAAGGGGTAGGGAGGTGGGGGTGTAGGGGGG